AAAACAAAAATTCGAAAAAATGCGAATGAAAAGTCACTTAAAGTTGTATGTGGTCATGCGGTAACAACCATGCAAATTTTGTCAGTTTTTTTTCCAGGAATGTAAATTGTAAAACGAATCTTTTGTCTTTTTATAATTATTTTTATACAGAAATGAAAGAAATCCAATTATTAATAGAATATAGATATTGTTATTTATTTTTTCTATTATTTATTATGCAAGACGCAGTCTGTCGGACGATCCAAAATTGTTGTTTATTTATTTGTTTGATTGTTAGAAGTCCCTGCTTAAACCTAAAAGCTCTATTATAATTGTGGATGACACAAGATATCCCCCCTTTTTATTCTCTAAGTCATGAAATTATTAATTTTATTAAAGAGTAATTGAGAATTTAATAGATTTCTTCTGTTTGTTTTAATTTTTGTTTTTACTCCTGAAAGGAATAGCTTTACAAAAACATAGGTAATCAGAGATTACAGAGCTAACCTCCACAAATGTTGTCTATAAGTAAGGCAAAGGTCCCACAATAACTTACAATCTATTAGTGCAAATCACAACTCATCCAGAAAATGTTATTTAAATCCAACATCTGAAGCAAGGTTGAGCTTGTTTATCCATTGATACACTACCCTTACAAGTTTGGTTCAGATAGGCATTATAGTTCCTTGGTAACGGTCGTGCACCAAGAACTTTAATCTGGTCACTCATGTAGAAAAAATAGGTCAAATCCAGCATCTGAAGCAAGACTGGAATTGTGAATTCTTAGATGAATCCTTTATGCAAGTTTGATGAGGGTACAGCACATTGTTACAGTAACTTTAGAATGAACCTGCTCCAAAAACTTTAACCAGGTCACTCACCTGCAAAATGTAGATCAGATCCAGCATCGAAGCAAGTCCAGTAATGTTCATCCTTAAATGTAACATCCATGCAAGTTTGGTCAAAATAAGCCCTACAGTTATTTTAGAATAAATCTGCTCCAAAAACTTTAACCTGGTCACTCCTCCGGAAAATGTAGGTCAGATTCATCCAACCAAAGCAAGCCTAATAGTGTGCATCCTTAGATGTGTCATCTATGCAACTTTCATTAACAAAGAACAAATAATTACTTCATTGTTATTTTAAATCTTACAATGTACCCATTTAAACTCCACATCATAAAATCCAATAAAATCAAAGCTCACATTCTTTTTTACCATATGATATAATATGTCGAAATATTACAACCATAATTGGTCATAAACTTCATCTTAACATATTGAACAAATATTATTTTAAAGTTTTCATAAGTTGGATAACTGAATTACATAAATAAATATTTGCAATCAAAAATAACTATTCCATCTTAATTCGTTTTCAAAATGGACATTCCCAAATTTTTTGGCTAATTCGCATGAAAAATCACGCGCTGGAGTTTATGTAACATGTAGAATCGTGTGTATAAAGAATCATTCCTGTAACGGGCCTAATCCTGCGTTTGTTGGTCAGAATCGTTCTTGTATCATAATCGTTCATGTATGTTGTCAACAATACCGTTGCAACCACTGTATATATTTCGTAAATGTGATAATTAAACTGTCTGCTGATTTATATAGTGATGATAAGTTTTCAAATAAGAAAAAAATGAATTAAAAAAGAATGCAATTGTTTATGATGTTTTCAGGTTTGAAGATTGTAAAAATGTTCATACATAGTAAGATGCAATATTGTCTACTTGGTACTAAATTATGTGACTAGCATCATAGTACTAGCTGATGTGTTTTTCATCGTGGTACTAGATGATGCATCTGTCATCATAGCACTAGTTCATGATCCTGACATCATGGTACTAGCTGATGTGTCTGTCATCGTGGTACTAGATAATGCATCTGTCATCATAGCACTAGTTCATGTTCCTGACAACAGGGTACTAGCTGATGTGTCTGTCATCGTGGTACTAGATGATGCATCTGTCATCATAGCACTAGTTCATGCTCCTGACATCATGGTACTAGCTAATGTGTCTGTCATCATGGTGCTAATGTATGTGCCTCTCATCATGGTATCTGTTGGTTTGTCTGTCATTATAGTACCAGTTGATGCTCCTGTCATCATGGCACTAGTTGATTTCCCTGTTATAATGGCATTAGTTTATGCATCTGTCATCATGGTACTAGTTGATGTGACTTTCATCATGGTACAAGATCATGTGAAATAGCTTTATTCAAGTTAAAGCCCCTTTCATCATGGTACTAGTTGGTGACCCTTTCATGAAGGTTCTTAATGATGCATCTGTCATCATGCTACTATATTTGGTGTGCCTATAATCATGGTTCTATTTGATGTGTCTGTTACTTGGTACAATTCAATGTGTCTGTTATCACAATTCAAATTGATGTGTCTGTCATTATGATATTAGTCGATATTCGAGTCATCACCGTACTACTTTATGCCCCTATAATCATAGTACTAGTTGATGCACCTGTCTTCATGGTACTAGTTGATGTGACTGTTATCATGGTAGTAATTAATGTGCCCGTCATCATGGTACTAGTTGATGCCCCTTTCATTATGCTATTAGTTAATATGTATGTCATCATGGTATGAGTTGTTGTGACTTTCTTCATGGTACTAGATCATGTGTAATTGCATAATTCAAGTTGACGCCCCTGTCATCATGGTAATAGATGATGTCGCTGTCATCATGTTACTAGTGGATGTGATGACTTTCATCATGGTTGAAATTAATGTGCCTGTCATCATGGTACTAGTTGATGCCCCTGACATCATGCTACTAGTTGATGTGACTTTCATCATGGTACGAGTTGATTAGACATTCATCATTCTAATAGTTGATGTGACTTTCATCATGGTACTAATTGATGCCCCTGTCACCATGCTACTAGTTGATGCGACTTTCATCATGGTACCAGTAGATGTGTCTGTAATCATGATACACATTGATGTGTCTGTTATTATGTTATTGATGGTGTTCCATTCATTATGGAATTATTTGATGCTCCTGACAATATAGTACTAGATGATGTGTCTGACATCATGGTACTAGTTAGAATGACTATCATGGTATTATTTGATGCTCCTGTCATCGTGTAACTAGTTGATGCCCCTGTCTTCAATGTACTAGCTGATTTCCCCATTATTATGGTAGGAATTAATGTGACTGTTATCATGGAACTAGATGGTTTAACTATCATTATGGTTCAAGTTGTTGCACCTGTCACCATGGCACTAGTTGATATCCCTGGTATCATAATACTAGTTTATGTGTCTATCATCATGGTACTAGTTGATGTGCCTGTCATCATGGTATTAGTTAATGTGTCTATCATTATGGTACTAGTTGATGTGCCTGTCATCATGGTATTAGTTAAAGTCTCTGTCATCATGGTACTAGTTGGTGTGCCTGTCAGCATGGTTCTATTTGACAATCTGTTACATGGTACAATTCAATGTGTCTGTTATCACAATCAAAATTGATGTGTCTGTCATTATGGTTAAAGATTCCAGTCATCACTGTACTAGTTAATACCCCTGTCATCATGTAACTAGTTGATGCACATGTCATCATGGTACTAGTTGATGTGTCTGTCAAGATATATGTTGATGCCCCTGTCGTCATGTTACTAGTTGATGCCCCTGTCATCATGGTACAAGTTAATGCCACTGACATCTTGGTACTAGTTGAAGCACTTCATCATAGTATTAGTTGATGCCCCTGTCAAATCATATGTAATGGCATGGTTCAAGTAGTTGTGTCTTTTATCATGGTACAAGATGATATGTCTCTTATTATGGTACTAGTTAATGCCACTGATTTGTTGGTACTAGTTGAAGCAAGTGTCATCATGTTACCCCTGTCAAATTATGTGTAATGCCATGGTTCAAGTAGATGTGTCTGACATCATGGCACTAGTTGATATGACTATCATCATAGTTGTAGTTAATGTGCCTGTTATGGTAGAAGATGATGATACAAATTGCTATGTCTGTAATTTTGGTATTAGGTGATGTTCCCAGTCACTGTTGTACTATTTGATGCATCTGTCATCATGGTACAAGTGATGAACATGTCATCATGGTATTAGCTGATGTGTCTGTCATCATAGTACTAGTTGATGCCCCTGTCATCTTGGCACTAGATCATTTGTTATGGCATAATTCAAGTTCATGCTCTTATCATCATGGTACTAGTTGATGTGCCTGTAATCATGGTACAAGTCAATGTGTCTGTTATCATAATCCAAACTGATGTGTCTGTTATGATATGAGATGATGTTCCAGTCATTAGTGTATTAGTTGATGGCTCTGTCAAATCATGTGTAATGGCATGGTTCAAGTAGATATGACTGTAATCATGTTATTAGATGATCTGTCTGTACTGGTTGATGTAACTACCATCATAGTTCTAGTTAATGTGCCTCTCATCATGGTACTAATTGATGATACAAATTGATGTGTCTGTTATTATGGTATTAGTGATGTTCCAGTCATGATGGTACTAGTTGATGCATCTGTCTTCATGGTACTAGTTGATGTTCCTGACATCATGTTTGTTAATACTAATTGTGTCTATCCTCATGGTTCTAGCTTATGTGCTTGTCATCATGGTACTATTTTATGCCATCATTTTGCTAAATTAATGCCCATCATTTTTGTAAATGCCATTGTCACAATATCCTTATTTTATAAATTGTTTGAAAACTTTGGTGTGCTTCTGCAAATTTAAATGCCACTTCATTCTGAAACTGGGTAAAGACATCCCTTTTTTAGCTGGCTATACTGCAAAAGTTTTACATGGCTGGATTACGATTGTGTTAATGTTTTTTAAGTCGACAGCCAACAATTTACTTTGAGGAAAATCATGTAGAGTAAGTGAACTCCATTTCACTTATGCATCCTATTCCAATGTCCAAAATACATAGTAAAGGCAAAAATGTAAGCAAATTAGATACTTTCTGCTGCCTGATTATCGAGTTAGTGTCCCCATGTTTTCCTCGTATTTCTTTCTACTTTGTCGCCTAAGATTAATCACTTTAGTACGAATCTTGTGGACTTTTACTTTATCAGGATATTCCTTTAAAACATCTGGGTTTTTGGATATGAATGTGTGTATCTTCTTTGTCACTGCAAATATGAATTGAATAACAATATTTTACAAACATTTATTACAAGTCCAGCTAAATTTCATATAGGTATCTGACCCATAATAGCCTAAGACTCAATGAAATTGAATGGATAACAGACACATATGGGCTGAATACTTGGTATTTTAACATTTTTTTCATATTTTTGTATCAGATGAAAAAGTATGTCTGATTTATGACCTTGCCCTGTCCTTGAAAAGCTATTTTCCATGAATCAATTCCAAAAAATTTATGCCTGTTAAAAAAAAAAAGTAACATCATTTTTCTATTCCTAACAATCAAATAAGTCCTTCCTGGTTCCATCAAGCAATTACTGCTATTCTTGGTATTTAAAAATTTTAAGTTAATAAATTTTCATGTCAATATATTCTTCATTGATTATTTACCGATTAGGTAATTGCATTTCTGAAATTTCTCTTGATAAATCCTTTTCTACTCTAAAGTGCTTTAATTTAATATAAGAGTATTTTATGTGTGAAAGATATACAAGGTTAGAATACTTGCTCAAATATGGATTTTGATCAAATCCAGTATCCAAAGCAAGTCTGGAAATGGCATCCTTAGATGTTTAGTCCATGCAAGTTTGGTCATTGTTTGGGTTTGTAGTTACTTTACAATGAACCTGCTCCAAAAACTTTAACCTGGGTGCTCATCCAGACAATGTAGCTGGTAGGTGTGCATCCTTATTTGAATCACCTCTGTAAGTTTGATCAATGTAAGGCTCATAGTAACTTGGAAATGAGACTCCTCCAAAAAATTGAACCTGCTTCAGAAAACATTAACCTGATCATTCTTAGTATGAATATGCAGCATCTGAAACCTGGACTGATTTAACAAGAAGTATGTGACCCAATGCTCACTAGTAAAGCCCTGCTCTGATGTGTACATACACTCTGATGTGAATATACACTAGTTCAGCTATGGACAGACACAGGGATGAACATGAAGATGACATCAGATTCATACAAAAATGATTCCCACAATATTGCATGCCTCAACAAAGAGTGTGCTAAGATTTCAAGCATCTTCAACCAGTAGTTGCTGAGAAAACTGCAACGAAAATCTGTTACATATTGTACAGAGTAGTTGTTGAGAAAAATTTGACAAAAATTCAAATACATGGATAAACAGGAAGTTGACATCAGATTCAAACAAAAATAAATCCTACCATACGGCCTAAGCAAAGAGTGTGTTAAAATTTCAAGCATCTGTGATACATAGTGGTTGAGAAAACTGCGACCAAAATTTGTTATGTATGGTACGGACAGACGCAAGGATAAACAGGAAGTTGACATCGGATTCGTACAAAAATGAATCCCAACATACGGCATGCCTAAACAAAGAGTGTGCTAAAATTTCAAGCATCTGTAATGAGTAGTTGCTGAGAAAACTGCGACCAAAAGAAGAAGGTATGGTTTTAGCTTTATTAATGCCCTAAAAATTTAATGTTTTCAAAAAGTTTTGAAACTGGCTTATATATTAGTTGAGTATATGGCTGTAATAAATCAGGAAAGAATATAGCATGATGGAGTACCATTCTGGATATATGACATCATTAATTTGATGCATTTCTCTATTTTAAACAGAAAAAGCCTCAAAATGACCCATTTCAAGGGTTATTTTCCTTAAGAAAATAGTGTCCACAGCCGTTGCCCACGTTAATTTTTAGATATGTTGTGTAAAATTCTTTGAAAAATCACATATTTCAAAATCTTTGTGGGCGATGCCTGTGGACAATATTATCTGAAAGAAAATTCCATTGAAAATTTATGTCTTCTGCAACTTTTTACGAAAATACGGGAAAATGCACAAGTTTATGACGTCACAATTAGCATTTGGAAGGTCATGTGAGAAAAAAGATTTGTATGATCTTTCTGCATGGAATTTCAATAATTCAAAAAGCATGAGTTTTAATTTTTTACATCACTTTTATTTTTAAGAAAAACACAGGGCAAGATTTGTATTGAAACCGTACCTTGTTCTTTGTCATGTATCGTACGGACACACGCACAGATAAATAGGAAGTTGACATCTGATTCGTACAAAAAAAAATTCCCACCATATGGCATGCCTAAACAAAGAGTGTGCTAAAATTTCAAGCATCTGCAATGAGTAGTTGCTGAAAAAACTGCGACAAAAATTTGTTACGGATAGACACACAGACTGACAGACAGACAAGGGTAAAACAGTATACCCGCCTCTCCTCGGAGCGGGGGTATAATTATCACATGATTAAGATAAAAGAAAAACAATAAGTTTGTGAGTCAATGCTCACTAGTAATACCCACAGTTGATGTGATTATATGCTTTCATGTGAAACAGACAGATGCAGAGAAAAACAGGAAGTCAACATTGGATTCTTACAAAAATGAATCCTACTATATTACATGCAGAAACAAAATGTGTGCTAAAATTTCAAGCATCAAGCATCTGTGATGAGTAATTGCTGAGAAAACTGCAACGGAACTTTGGTACAGACAAACAAGAAGTTAACATTGGATTTGTACAAAAATAATTCCCATCATATGGCATGCCAAAAACAAGAATGCATCTTTACAGTTTAATAAAATTTTTGAAAAGTTTTAGAAATTTACTAAGTTTTCTTACTGCAAAGTTTCTGGGGACATTTCCAATAGTGTATTTTTACATTTCATACAGTTAAAATTTCCTAGTAACATTCCATTGAAAGAAATATTGAAAAAAATATCAGTGTAACTCCTCTGTTTGGGAGAGAATAAAATGTGTTTGTGGTACATATCTTTCAATTGAGTTTTATAAAAAAAAACAATAAAGTCAAAGGTCACTGGAAAGTTCAGGTTATTAAAAAAGACAATAATTGATAAATTTTCATAACATTATGTATCAGTGCATAAGCTTACTTAAAAATACTTCAATAGTTTCGTTGAAACTGAGCAAAATGAAAATTTAACAAAGATTGCAGGAAAGTTCAAGTTAAAATTTTTTGATGCAGTTGAATTGCTCTCATCAATATGTCTCAGTATATAAGTTTGATAAATAAAAAGAAGGACGGAAGACATACATGACAAATACTATGTGCCTCGGCCATATTTATGGTGGGGCATAAAAAGATTATGCTAAAATTTCAAGCATCTGCAAAGAGTAGTTGCTGAGAAAACCATGAAAAAAAAATTGTCAAAAAAAAGACACACAGACAGACAGACAGACACACATGAATAAAACAGTATACCACCCTCTCTTTTGGAAATAAAATAAAATAAAATACCTCCATGCAGTGATCCTTGGTTTCCTGACTTGGAAAATTCATTGATGTCCTCTTTGAAAAAATCTTTTATTGCTCTATCCTCTTGTGGAAGCCAGGTATGCTTTCTTCTTGCTTTTGAAACATTTTCTCCTGTAAAAAATAAACTTTTCATGCTAGGTAAAATAAATATTAAATAATATTTACATAGAAAGGCAGACATACAAATTCACACCAATCTCTATTATTTAGATTTTAGATTTAGATACCCTTCAAAGACTCTATATCTTCAGAATCTTCGCTTTCTATACTGGACTCATCAGAAGATTCATCCTCCATTTGAACAAACTCAGGATCATTGAACTTTTTGGAAATTTTCTCTCGACTAGGCCCTGGAACCTGCACAGGAACAGAAACATGACTGACTATCTGCTTGCTACTAAATACACAGATTAATGTCAATACATTGTACACAGATCTTTATTTTTTGTGGCATAGATATAAGATATAGTTATATGCATAAAAAAAGTCCAGGTTTTTCTTTGTACATTCAAATTTTGTTTACTTACAAAAATTTTTAATTTCTAAATTGTCTAAGTAACTGTGAACAGACTGGACTGATTTTAAAATGATTCCACTTGCTTCTGTTAAATTACGACTCCATCTTTACAGTGTCAAGGCTTTGACTGTGATATTGTTCCTCCATAAAAACCCTTCACAACAATTATCATCTAAAAGATGGGCTAGAAAGCTACTTTTTAATTTCTATCTGATCTTTTATTAGAAACCAATCAGAAAACAGCTTTTAAAGTGAGTAAAGTTTTGTTAAATGACTTCTACCTGAAATAGAGAGTGTCAATTTCCTGTTTTCTGATTAAATGCCTCTTATATAATACTAGAATTAATTTTTTTGAATTTCACAATCACAAAATAATAAAAGGTGCTGAGGAATATGCCACTTAAAAAGGATAGATTGTTATAGTATGCATACAATTCATTCGTGTTTAATAAACTGAACAAAATGGCAACATCAGATTTTGTACATGAAAATGATGTGAACCAGGCCTATTTTGATCATCATTTGTGGTCCTATTCAACACTCAAGTGTCATGATATGAACAAAATATACACTACAAGAGGATATGCTTTCATATGAATATGACTAATAAGGACTTTGCAGAAATACACAAACAGAAGAATCATGCTTACTTAAAATGTTTTAATGGGTTTATTTTTATTAATCATAAATTTATGAAAATTAATTAATCATATCATGAAATCATATTTCATTCCAATCTATTTTTATCAACAAGGTAGTTTTTATTCCACTGATTTTCAAAGAATTTTTTTATGGTAAAACAACAGCATCCATTCCTGTCATTAGCTTATTAGAATTTAAATGAATACAGTTGGTCAATTAAAAGTATAAAACATAGGTAATCAGAGATTACAGAGCTCGCCTCAATGAGTGTTGTCTTTAAGAAAGGGAAAGTCTCACATTAAACTAATTATCCCAAGATGCAACATTTATGCAATTTTGATCTGATAGGGCTTGAAGTTGCTTGGGGAATGGACTTATCTAAAAAAAATAAATCAGTCATTCATCCAGATGATATAATTCAAATCCAGCATCTGAAGCAAGTTTGAGAATGTTCATCCCTTGATGCATCATTCATGCAAGTTTGGATCAGGCATCATAATTACTTAGTCATGGACCAAAAACTTTAACCTGGTCAATCATCTGGAAAATCATAATTTGAACAAATTACATTCTACATTATTTTTAGAAGCTCTCACATAAGTTTCATATTCATGCTATTCATACTCATACTGAGTAGGGAAGATTTTTGAATGATCCTCCCCCATTTTTACTTTTTTTTTTTAAAATTATCTCCCCTCATAAGGTGTGACCAAGACCCCTCATTTTACATGTTTTAACAAATATAATTCTTCTTCACTTTTGTGCCAACTTTGGTTAAAATTGGCCTATCTGTCCTGTAGAAAATGAAATTGTAAAATATTTACAACAACCATAATGACAGACAAAGAACAAATTTTGATCAAAAAAGTTCATAAGATCCTTGGCTCAGGTGAGCTTAAAAGGAGCTTAAAAGGATTTAAAAACCTTTATAATTATAAATTATCCTTTTCTCATAAAAAGACATACCTTGTTTAGTAAAGTATGGTCAATAGGTAATTTCCTCTTGGATTCTGTAAACAAAATTACACCATTAAAATGATTGTTGGACAATTAAATAGCAAATTATGTTACAAAATGATCATGGGCCTGAACAATCATCTGAGTAATTCTAAGCTCCCTTTTGAAATTCCTAAAATTCTCCACAAGAATAAACTAATTGTTTACAGTACATTTTTCCAATTACTTAAATGCAGAAGTTAATGTTTGTTTATTTGATAAATCCCTTCAAAAATTTTCTCTCTCATAGAGAGAAATTAATAGATTGATTGATTGATTGATTGTTGTTTTACGTCCCATTCGAGAATTTTTCAATCATATAGAGACATCACCATATCCCGTTGAAGGGCTTCAAATTTTGACCTTTACTCGGCATTTCACTTCACAGTGCTGAATAGACTTAGGTCAGTTGCGGTCGAGATTCGAACACAGAGCAAGCGGGACATTTAGAGCTATACTCTGCATTTATGACATCTGAACATTGAGAAATCTTTTTTGTGCCAGCTTTAACTGCGACAAGGGACTTTGGTTTTTTTCTGTCTCATATGAAGGACCAATCTCCCCCTCCACAGTGTAAGGATCAACTTCTTACTCCATGACTATAGAGCAAACACTTTAACTACTGCACCATGTGAGTGATCCTCAAAAGACAAGTAGTTCAATGTTCTTAGTAACACAATTATTGATTTTGTGTTAACTTAAGTCTCTTCTAGTTTGTATTATTAACAAAGGAAGATAGAAGTATCATTTGCACTTAACACAATCATCCAGCAATAAATAAAATAATGGTCCTTGGTTTAGTCTCTTTGTGGCTAGATTTATTGCAAACAAATCTAAACTGTTGGAGTAACCTTTCGAAAGAAGAGAGTGACAAAAAAGTGGTGGCGTAAATTGAAGGTTTTTACAACGCTTGGATCAGTAGCTTTCTGCTTTGTCTGTCCAAATTTTCTCAAACAGAGAGTTAAAGTTCTGCAGCTACCGGGGGGCATGATATGAACAATCTTGAATCTACACTACCTGAGGATGCATTCATATCAATATGACTAATCATGGCTTTGCTGTTCTTTAGATTTTCAAAGTTTTTTCCTAAATTTTCCTACGTAAAAATTTGATCCAACACTGTGGCTCCACCCTACCCCTGGGGGTCATCATTTGAACAAACTTGAATCTCCTCTATGTAACAAAGGTTTCCTTTAATTTTCAACTTTTTATTTGCCCAGTGGTTCTTGAGAAGAAAATTTTTAAAACAAACCAAATTTTCACTATTTTTGAATGATATCCTCTTGAATGAGGGGTGGCCCTTTATTTGAACAAACTGGAATTCCATTTACCCAAGGATTCTATGCGACAAGTTTGGTTGAAATTGGCCCAGTGGTTCTGGAGAAGAAAGTGAAAATGTCAAAAGTGTAAGAGGGACAGACAGACAAAATGTGATTAGAAAAGCTTGCAAGCTTTCAGCTCAGGTGAGCTAAAACACTATTGTCAATGTACAATGGGCAACCTTTGTATATCTCAATTAAATTTTTATAAATAAGGAATTTAACATTAGCAGGATAAAAATGTATGTGTATTACCTTTTGTCTGTCCTGTGGAAGTTCCTCTATTTGACTGCTTTGGCATCTCATTTTCTGTCAATGAATAATTAATTAATTTGAAAATATTCATTTACGTGTGGTAAGAAATGATGGATTATCCAACACAATTACATTGTTTTGTATTTGATGTTCTTGCAGATTATTGAAAATCATTCACTCTCCTCCATGGCACCTGATCCAAACTCTGATGTTTAAGAGGTCCATGTTTGCTCTGAATCCAATTTGTATTGTTTAAATGGGCTTGTTCGTTATCTCCAATATTTCTATTATTAAGCTTTGATCTTGTGATTTTCATAAACATTGTCTACGTGATGTTGTATGCTGAGTTAGACAAGTGTGCAGAACACCTGGGGCCCGTTCCTCAAAAGGGCCTACAATCAGGTATAAACTCAGTCCGGACTAAATCAGTGACTAAACCTGAAAATGGTACTAAGTTGCATTTCACAAAAAGGTGGAGACTAAGTCGAGACTAAACTTTGGCTTAAATCTATGTCTGCTTATGAGAAGGCACAAGTTTTAGTATGTTTACAACTTGAAAAACTGGCAAGTGTTTTGATCATAAAATAATCAATAGAGCCCCGCGCTAACACCAGAACCCCTGACCCAGGGCCATGAAATTCACAATTTTGTAAAAAGCATCCTTGTGCATCATAACCATGCACTTAGTTTGATAAAATAATACCCAGTAGCAGAGAAAAAGATTTTCAAAGAATTAATGCATTTTCACAATATAATCAATAGAGCCCCCTCCAAACACAAGAACCCCTGACCCAGGGGGCAGGAAATTCACAATTTTCACAATCATAAACCTTTTGTTTAAATAATACCCAGGAGCTGAGAAGATCTTCAAAGAATTCATGCATTTTTACTATATAATCAATAGAGCCCCACCCCAACACCAGAAGCCCTGAACCAGGGGCCATGAAATTGACAGTTTTATAAAAGGCATCCTTGTGTATCATAACCATGCACTTAGTTTGTTTAAATAACACCCAGGAGCAGAAAAGAAGATTTTCAAATAATTAATGCATTTTCACTATGAAATATATGGAGATAACGAACAGTATTCAAGCTCAAAGTCCATTATACAATACAAAATAGGAGCAGAGCAAACACGGACCTCCAAACATCAGAGGTGGGATCAGGTGCCATGGAGGAGTGAGCATCCCCTGCCGACCAGTCACACCCGCCGTGTGCTCCTTGTCATGATCAGGAAATAACGGAAAAATCCGTCGACAATTCAGTGTGTAAATAATGTAACTATATAATGTAACTATATAATCAATAAATCCCCGCCCTAACACCAGAACCCTTGAATCAGGGGCCATGAAATTCACAATTCAAAAAAAGCATCATTGCTTTTCATAATCATGCACTTGTTTTGTTTAAATAATACCCTGGAGAAGAGAAAAAGGTTTTCAAGAATTAATGTATTTTCACTATATAATCATTAGAGTCCCGCCCTTACACCAGAACCCCTGACCCTGAAGCCATGAATTTCACAATTTTGGTAGAGGGCCCAATGGTTATTACAATCATGC